GAGGAACCCTTGGGATGGAAAAGGGAATCCTGATTCTGCCATCACATGCCCATGAGATCTGATTGTCAGCCAGGGCTGATCTGTGGCTGCCAGCAAGGAAGCCACATCATCTCATTATACCAGACTGGCCCGGCAGAAAGATTAGATAACAACGTTTATTTTGCCATTAGCCCTGCCTGGTCCTCAGTATGGTAGTGCCTGGCTTTCAGGGACGCTGGCAGCTGTGTCTCTGATGCACGGTAGCCCATGCCAAGGGCCCAGGTGTTCAGAAATGTTCCATGAACGAATCAAATCAAGCAATGTAATGAGATCTAAGGAACCCAATCATGGCAAGCCTGAGATAGAGCACTTAAGCAGGATAAGTGTTATCGAGCTGGTCTGATAGGCATTGTGGCAGCTGGTCCTCTAGCAGCTTTCAATCAAGGCACCCCAGGGACACGATCTTCCAACAGCAAAGAGAACAGTGTGTTTTCCACTCCCCAGTCCCAGAGCTGGGCTGTTTCTCCAGAGATGCAAGCAGGTTTTTAAAGTTAAATTTATGATAACATTTTTGGCTCAACTATAGAAGTAATACATGATCATTGTAGATTATTCATAAGTAAATAAAAATTGTTAAATGATTTACAACCCCACTACCCAGAGCTAACCACTGTTAGCGTAGTAAATGAATACATAGGTTTACTTACAAATATAGGACCACAAGATATGGCACATGTTGCTTTGCAACCAGCCCGTTTTGATGGGTCAGCTCATATCTACTGTGCTACTTTATGTGCAACCTGAACCTGCTTTTAAAAGAAATACCGTGGTCCTGTATTTTGCAAGTAATGTTTTAGAAATCTACATTATCATTTTTAAACCTTTCTTGAAATATTGTATGCACACAGAAAGGTGCATATCATAAAAAATAGGTTGATGAATTTTCACAAACCAAGCACATGCATGTAACCACAACCCAGACCCAGCAAAAGAGCATGTCAGGTACCCCCGGACCCCACCCCAGGCTCTTCCCAGTCACTACCCCAGTGCCAAACCAAGCGTATCACTACTCTAATATCCAAACAGCAAAGATTCATTTCACCTGTTTTTGTACTTTTGATAAGCAGTACCATATAACAAGTATTTTATTTGCATTGAGCTTCTTTGCTCAAAATCATGTTTAGTTGAGGCATCGGCGACTGGTGTCGTGTGGAGTTGTTACTCAGTCCTGTTCATTGCTATGTATTATTCTACTGCATCAATATACCCTCTACTTACCTCTTTTGCAGTTCATAGGCATTTGGGTAGCTTCCAGTGTGGGGCTGTTAGGAACAGTGCTCTATGAACGTTCTCTTATAATACACATCTTTGTTCTTTTTCTTTTATTTATTTATTAAAAACAATGGAAATGAAGTCTTGCTGTGTTGCTCAGGCTGGTCTTGAACTCTTGGGCTCAAGCCGTCCTCCCACCTTGGCCTTCCCAAGTGCTGGGGTTACACCGTGAGCTACTGTGCCTGGCTCTTTTCTTTTTAATTCAAATGTAATAATTGTCCATATTTATGGGTACATAGGGGTGTTTCCGTACATATAATGTTTAGTGATCAGATCAGTGTCATTAGCATATTTATCGTCTTGAACATTGATCATTCTTTTGCTTTTCTTGGAGACAGAATCTCGCTCTGTTGCCCAGGCTGAAGTGCAATGGCTCCATCTCGGCTCACTGCAACCTCCGCCTCCCGGGTTCAGGAGATTCTCCTGCCTCAGCCTCCCGAGTAGCTGGGAATGACAGACATGTGTCACCACGCCCGACTAATTTTGTATTTTTAGGACAGATGAGGTTTCACCATGTTGGCCTGGCTGGTCTCAAACTCCTCATCTCAGGTGATTCACCTGCCTCAGCCTCCCAAAGTGCCGGGATTACAGGCATGAGCCAGTGAGCCCGGCCAGCATATATGTATTTTTAGTTTTGATAGAAACAGCCACATCACGCTCCTTAGGGTGGTGCCAATTTACACTCCCACCAGCAATGTGTGGAGTGATCACTTGGGACAGGTGAGGATGGATGGGGAAGGAGACCTGTGAGATTAAAATAACACTCCTGGACGAGTGTGAATGAAAAGGACAGAAGGAGCTGTGCTTAGACCCCCAAGGCCCTTAGAGGAAGATGCATGAAGCAGAGTCCTGAGACTGCAGCAAAGGCTTGTGAATTCATCGTCTCTTGTGCAGCAACATAGGGAGGATCCCTTCGGATATGTTGGCGCAGGGCTTTCTGGTCAAATGATCTGTCTGATGAGGAAGCTCTTTAGATGCTGGCTGGGTTGAGGAATCCCAGGGTGCGAATGGAAGAGGTGCTGGGAGAGAGAGGCTGAGCTGCAGCTGCTGGGGTTGAGATGGGGGAGGAAGGAAGGATGGGGCCAGGCGCAGGAGAACGGATAGCATCCAGGAAGGCCTGCCTGTATCCCTGGAGCCTAGCACACTGCCTAGCTTCAAAGTAGCTACGTGGGAAATGTCAGAAAAACAAATCCAGCAAAGGAGCCAGGACAGGGTGAAATTCCTTCCCAGAAACTTGAGAAATCCACCTGCTTATCCCATGACAAAATGGATGGAATTTTGGTGGGGGTGGGAGCTGACCCCCCTGTTGTCATTCACGTGGCCTTCCTCAAACCCTGTCCACATCTCATACTCTCATCCTACCTGAGCTGTTTCCTTTTAAAACGTCATCACTAATCACTCATTCAGCAACAATTGAGGGACCACCTACTATGTGCCAAGCCCTGCTCTTGCTGCTCGGCTTCAACCCTAAACAAAACGACCACCATCCCTGCCCTTGTGAATCTTAAACACTTAAATGCACGGTTACAAGTCGTGCCAAGTATCATGAGGGATAAGGTGGGCCCAGGCTCTATGGGAGAGTGGTCAGGGAGGGCTAATCACTTTTACAGGGAAGTGAGTTTTTGTTTTTGAGGTGGAGTTTTACTCTTGTTGCCCAGGCTGGAATACAATGGCGTGATCTCAGCTCACTGCAACCTCTGCCTCCTGGGTTCAAGCGATTCTCCTGCCTCAGCCTCCCGAGTAGCTGGGATTACAGGTGCCGGCCACCATGCCCAGCTAATTTTTTGTATTTTTTTTAGTCGAGACGGGGTTTCACCATGGTGGCCAGGCTGGTCTCGAATTCCTGACCTCAGTTCATCTGCCCACCTCGGCCTCCCAAAGTGCTGGGATTATATGTGTGAGCCACCGTACCTGGTTGGGAAGTGACATTTAAGCCACGTCTGCAGATGCTAGGTGTTAGCAAGGCAAGAAAGAGGGAAAGGCAACCCAGGCAAAGGAAACAGCATATGCAAAGTCTGGAGGTGAGAAAGCACTTGGGCTATTTTGGCCATGGGAGCCGGGGTGGAGGGAGCTCAGGGCAGTGGGATCAGAGTGAGGCAGGGAACGTTTTGAGGGAAAGGAGCACACAGGACCTGGAACTATGCCAAAGATTTGCTGTTTTGTTCCAAAGGCAATGGCAAGAAGGCATTAAGAGTTTTAAGCAAGGAAGGGATGAGATGAAATGTATGTCTCATAAAGTTTATTCAGCTGTGGAAAATGGGCTTGGGAGGGTGAGAGTGACCCCGGGGAGACTGGGCGTTGGAGATCATCCCTGGCCCTCCTAGAGCTCAGCTCCAGCCTCTGGCCCTGCCTTCAGCAGACAGCCTGGGTTGGCTGTCACCAGAAGCAGGAGCTATGGAAATTTTCCCAGCGTGCATGCTGAGAGGCCCCGGGCTGTAATAGACTTCCTAGCAAGAGAGAGTCTGAGATCAAGCTCAACTGAGATAAAATGAAACAGATCACTTTGCAGCAGGACTTATCAGAGTCTTTGATTGGGAACTGTAGCTGGTGAACCCTGGGGAAGGGCCTAGAATGTAGCGTGTTCTGTACTTATTTTGAAACTATGTTTTCCATTGTACGTTTTGCTACCAAGCCCAGCCTGAGAAACTGCTCCATTTCCTCTTTGCCTTTCTAGGGAATATATGCTAATAAGCATGCTTAATTCTCTGTCTCACAACCTCTGCTCAGGGAAGTGGAACACCATTTTGTTTGTTTACAGACGGGGAAACAGATGTGTTCAGGGTCTTGTGCCTGGGACCTTGCGGGAGATTGACAGTGAGTCTTGGTCACCAGCGAATCACAGGGGCGTCCTGGAAGATTGTGGTGTCAGCTTCTTCCACTGCTCCTGTCCATGTCTTGCAGACAACACTGCCCTGTCCTGTCTACTTAGGGACATCGCCATTAGTGTCCACCTCTCCTGTCTCTCCTGATTGCTTTCTTTTCCTCATGATCTTTGTCTCTTTTTTTTTGAGCTGCAGTCTCACTCTGTCGCCCAGGCTAGAGTGCAATGGTGCGATCTCCGCTCACTGCAACCTCCACCTTCCTGGTTCAAGCGATCCTTCTGCCTCAGCCTCCCGAGTAGCTGGGATTACAGGCACGCACCACCACGCCCAGCTAATTTTTGCATTTTGAACAGAGACGGGGTTTCACCATGTTGGCCAGGCTGGTCTCAAACTCGTGACCTGTCTGTCTCAGCCTCCCAAAGTGCTGGGATAACAGGTGTGAGCCACTGCGCCCAGCCTTGTCATGATCTCTTATTGGTTTTGGGAGAAGTAAGAAGTTGACTCCCTCAACTAAGAGCTTCAGTGCTATTTTTTCTTTTTTCTTCTCTCTCTCTTTCTTTTTTTTTTTTCTTTGAGATGGAGTCTCTCTGTGTCACGCAGGCTGGAGTACAATGGCACGATCTCAGTTCTCACTGTCCCTTCTATGAGAAAACAATGAGCCCAGCATTTTTGGCCCCCAGGTCTTTTTATGATGCTTCCAGCACAGCCCCCTGCAGGCCTCTGTCTTCCTGGCTCTACCATGAAGTGTCCGCTGCTGGGGTCACTCTGTTGGGTGCCATCCAAGTGGATGTGGTCATTTTGGTCCCTGCCCTGGCGTTCTAACCCCAGTGATGTGAAGGAAAAAGACCAGCAAAGAGAAGCAGCTCCACAAAACCTGTTTCAGTAGGTTATGTTTTTATTCTACATTATCGGTAAGACAGGGAACAGGGCCAAGACCTCCGCACTCCCGTGGGAAGGACAGTCAGGAGAATTAGATGCATCTAAAGTGGGCACAGGACGGAGGTCGGATCTTCCTGGGAGGTGGCTGGAAAGACTTGGGCTTAAGCCACGGGAGCCAGGCCGACCTGGTTGTTTGCCCTGTCGAAGACAGTAAAGTACTGGCGGATGAAGACATCACCCAGGATCCAAAGCTCTCCAGATTCGGTGGGGACGTCCATGCCCTCGAAGCCGCTGATGCAGCTGCCCTGGCTCTGGAGAAAAGGAGAATAAAAGTGGAGTTGAGACACCGATTCAGCAGTGACAGGCGCTGGGTGATAAACATCCAGGGCGCCCTGGTCCAGCTGCAAGGCACGTGCAAGGAGGAGCTTCCTGGCTCAGTGTCCAGGGACTTGGCTGTTGTTGGCCTGGAGTTGGCCTGTAGAAGCTGTCCACAGCACAATTGGTTTCTGCGCATTACTGGACATTATCTGGCGTTTCTGGCAGGCACAGGAACCCTGACATCAGCATCAGAGCTAAGGGGCTTGGGGAGAATTCAGCTGGTAGGAAGGAGTGTGAAAACCCTGTTGATGTAGCCTTTTCTCATGATTATTCTGATCCCGACCAGTGGCAAACCGAATGAGCTGTTAGCCCTCTTGCCTTACTAAATCACTGGTCTGTGACCTTGTCTGCACGTCACCTGGGGAGCTTTGAACCCCCGTAGCCCCATCCCATTGCTCAGGCCTTGCCCTCTCCTAATGTAATCAGAATCACTGGGGGAGCCCAGGCGTCAGTGCTTCTTGTTGAGTAACATCAGTCCACTGGCAAAATCAGTTTTCCACCTGACGTTATAATAATAGAAGGGAGAGTTTTCCTGTGGCTCATATAGCTAAAGATTTGCTACCTGGTAGAGACGGTAGGTTTGTCGGAAACCCCAGCCTATGGAAATGAGGATTTCCATTTGTCCAACCCTTGGTAGCTCTGATGTGATCAGTCTCACTTGGTTAACCTAACCGCACTCTGAGCGTGGGGAAAGCTGCCATGTCTGAATTTTGGATGAGAAAACTGAGGCTGAGATGAGTTGTCATTTACTCAGCATCAACGGGCTGGTAATTCAGACCCAGGACTAGGACTCAGGGGTCCAAATAGAATCCTCTTTTCACTCCATTAACCTTTGCTTCACTTATTCCCTTGGGGAGCTGTGTCTGAGTTCTTATTCCTGCGTTTGTTTTTAATCTGTTCCTTCTCTCCGGAGCTGTCTGGGGCAGATGTTCGTCTGCCTCTGCCTCTCGGCTTCAGCTCGTGGAAGCGCACCTTCCCTCTGCAGAGGGGGACTCTGTGGCCACATTCTGTGTGAGCCCCTCTAGTGGATGGTCCAGAGCCCCCTCACCTGCAGGATGTAGGCACTGGGTGGCAAAGGGTACTGGACTCCGTTGATGGTGAAGACGATGTCGGGCAGGCTGCTGATGGCTGAGCAGCTGACTACCATCTGGAAAGAGTGGGGTGAGAAAAGTTGGAAGGGTTTTGGTCCTGATTGCCTGGCACACCCACTATTTGAGTGTAGAACAGAGCCGTCGGGGCTGGACTCACCTCGCCGTCTGAGTTCTCGCTGGCTCCGATGTCGCTCTGGATGTTGGCAATGGGGCTGGTTGGGCCGGTCAGCAGAGAGGTGCCGGTGTCAACAATGGCCTGGCAGCCCTCAGCGCAGGCGATGGCCTCTCCGTTCATGGTGATGCTGAGGGCAAGAAGCAAGTGAAGGTCCCTGAGCCCTCAGGGGTACATCTCTCCAAGGGGGAACCAGGAGGTGACCCCAGACATTTCTTCCACACCCGTTCATTGGCCAATGCGTGAAATTTCTGTTACTCTCATTCACACGTTCATTCATCCTGCATTCATTTACCCAACAAATATTTTGCAAGTGCCTACTCTCAGCCAGGCATGGGAAACGCAAAGGTAAAGCAGACAGCCTCACAGTTCCAGGCTGCAGGGAGCTCCCGGCCTGGCTGTCAAGATAAGTTATGGTGGCAGAAGGGCAGGATGATAAGCCAGGCATGCGGCAGGGAACAAAACAGGGTCCGGGGTGAGAGGCGGTGGAGGGAAGCAGCCAGGGGAGCAGACACCCAGGGATGCCAGGCAGGTGAAGAGAGAAGGAGGACATCAACAGGGGACGGTATGCGGGGAGGGACAGAGACCAAGGGCTGGGGCAGGAGTTGGAGGAACTGGTGAAATGCTAGCATGGCTGGGCAGACATGAGGTGATCAATGTGTCCTGGTTTGCCTGGGATGGTCCCAGCTTTAGTACTGAAGTCTTTGTCCTGGGAAAATGTTCACTCTGGGGAAAAGCCACACAATTGAGCACCGTGGCAGGCTAGCTGGGGAAGAACAGCGTGGAAATGAAGCCGCAAGGGAGACCAGAGAGGCCCTGAAGGGGTGCGTGGAACAAAGTGACTTCACACAACTTCTCAGCCATTTTGCCCTACTTCTAGACTGAAAGTGACACGTTTCCTTGAGTGGGAGGAGCGTGTGCTGGTTCCCAGGCAGGTGGTCGCCCAGCTTTCCCCAGGGATGCTGGTGGATTGTCCTGCCTCCGTGACTATTAGGACAGTGGCTATCTGACGCTTGCAGAGTCTCGGTTCCCAGACAGCTCTTCCCTCCTCCGCCCGGGAGGTGTCTTTCTAGGGTCTCTCTGGCTGGGCCAACTTCCGCCTTCCCCCTGGAGTGTTCCCCTGTGTCAGCTGTTCCTGGGGGAATTCTGGAAAGCTGGTAGCTATGAGTCCATAAGGAAATGGAATCTGGGGCCCAGGCCTGGATGCTGTCCATCCACGGCAGTCTCACCTGTCCACGGAGATCTGCCAGTAACCCTCGACAGAAACAGGCACCCAGTTCAGACTTCCAGTGTAGTAAGAAGAGTCAATGCCACCAAATATCACCACGCTGCCACTCTGGTCATCGCTGTGGAAAGTGAGGGAAGAAGACATGAATTTCTCTGTTCGTTCATGTGTGAACATCTGCTGTTGGCTCCTCAGAGCCACCGTTGATTGGGCACTTGGCAGGCTGTCCTGGGGTGTGACCAATGTGGTTTCTTGTCCTCTTAGGCCAGGGCCCACGCAGTGGACACTGTCACTGTTATTTCCACTTACCATGAGGACACTGAGCCTGAGGGAGGTGAGGCCACCTGCCCAAGGTCACACAGAAGGGAAGTGGTGGAACTACGTTTGGAAGAACACGGGTCTTTTAGGTTGAGTGTGTGGTTTTCACCGTGGTACTCACTCTAGTTGCCATGGCGACCCCAGGGATGTGAATGGGTGACAGTGTCGGCTCTTAAGGACTTGATGGTAGAGATCACTTGTTCTTAGCTGGGAGCAGTTTTGCCCCCAGGGGAGTGTCTGGAGACATTTTGGATTGATTGGGTGGGGGTAGTGGATGCTACTGGCATCTAATGCTTAGAGGCTGGGGATGCTGCCAAACGTCCTACAATGCATGGGACAGTCCCTGGCAAGGACTTATGCTGGTCTGAAATGTTAATGATTCCCAGATTGAGAGACTCAGATCTAGCTGGGGAGATACAACGGCCCCACGTGAAATATTTAAGTGCTCATATAGGCAGATTATGTTTCAGAGCCACGTTGAACATCAACTGGCCAAGAGGAATACATGACAAAGAGCCTTCCTGTTGTAAATTGCAGGAGTCCTTGTTATTTCAATATTCATTTTCTAAACCTCTGCAGTTTCAGGGTAGATGCAGAAGCAAATGTAGATGGCAATAAGAAATGAGTCATCGGAGAACTGGCCATGTATAAAATATGACCCCCTCACTGAACCCACCCACCTTTTCTGTGAAGGTCTCACAGTGCAATGCTATATAGCGAGGACCTAGACGTGTAGTTACCAACCAAGGAAACACGTGAATGACGGCAAACCCTTTCAAAAGAGGAGGACGTTCGTGAGTGTTAGAGGAACGTTGAGTGTCTTAAGAAAGTGGATGATGCCCTCAGATATTCTTGCGTAACACTCTACTCAGCCCAAATTGACATTTGATTTATTCTTTGTTCATTTGTTTGTTTGTTCATGTATTTCTTTGTTCATTCCTAGAATTAGCCCACGGTCACAAATGGAACCTAGGTTTTATTAAATCACAAAAGAAACTTGCTTTCATGATTTAAAAATGTCATCATCCATGATATATCTTGTTCAAATCTTTTCATTTTTGTGTTATGGAATTTTGATCTGTTTTAAGTGTATTCACTTTATTTATTTATTTATTTATTTATTTTCTGAAATAGAGTCTCGCTCTGTTGCCCAGGCTGGAATGCAGTGGCACAATCTTGGCTCACTGCAACCTCCGCCTCCAAGGCTCAAGCGATTCTCCCTGCCTCAGCCTCCCGAGTAGCTGGGTGTACTGGTGCCTGCCACCACAACTGGCTAATTTTTGTATTTTTTAGTAGAGACAGGGTTTTGCCATGTTGGCCAGGCTGGTCTTGAACTCCTGATTTCAGGTGATCCTCCTGTCTCAGACTCCCAAAGTGCTGGGATTACAAGCATGAACCACCGTGTCTGGCCAAGTGTATTCATTTTCAATGGCATCTTTGGGGGCCAAGGATGAGGGAACTGGCACTGAGGGGCAAATGGCTGATGACATTTGAGTTGTGCACATCAAGGGGACAAAGACGCTGGTAAATGAGATGGAGTGCACATGGCCCGTCAGAGAGAGACTTGGCACTATCACTCTCCAAAGACACATTTCTCTAGCCTCAGACATTGACTTTCCAAATCCCTTGCTTCCCAAGACCCTCTCCATCGCAGCCAGCCTTGAACAGCTGCTGCTGGGCCAGAACACTGTGACCTCTGGAGGGGGAGGTGGGAGGAGGCCCCTCTCCACCCAACTTACGCGCTCAGGTAGACAGAGAAGAGGTCCTGAGAAACCAGGCCCTGGTTCCAGATGTTGTCAAATACGGGTGTGGCCCCGGAGGAGGAAATGCTGGGGTACGCCAGCCCCAGGATGCCGTCGAAGGGAGCATAATACAGGAAGGAGCCGGGTTCGGTCTCGCTCAAGCCGAAGATCTGATTGGTGTCCGAGATGCCTCCAACCTGGGTGGGGGAACCGAGATGATGTTCACACTCAGGTCATGTTCACTGAGCTCCTGGGTGCCAGCCTCAGGCCCACAACTGCCCTGGTTCATCCAGCACGAGCCGCTTAGCCAGGGCATCAGCCTGGAAGGATGGGAGAGGGACCATCTCCTGGAATGCTTGTTCCTCTGCTGGAGGTAGCCATGGCAGCTGATCTCCAGATGGCCCACGGTCAGTTCATCCCATGCAGGCCTTGGCTTCCAGGGCATCAGCCTGGAAGGATGGGAGAGGGACCATCTCCTGGAATGCTTGTTCCTCTGCTGGAGGTAACCATGGCAGCTGATCTCCAGATGGCCACGGTCTATGACTCAGTGTGAGATTTTGCTGGAGAACAGATTCACTGTGGGTTTGTGTTACGGATGAACAAATGCAAAGCAGAGCCTGGGCGAATCAGGACCTTTGACCCTTGCAATGCCCCAAAAGTAGCAGAGAGGACTTGTGGAGATTTGAGGATGTCGGGGGTGGGGAGGGCTGCAGGTCAGGAGAAGGAGAAGAAGAGGAGGTGCTAGCATAGAATTGAGCCTTTATTGACTCTCCCCACCCTCCATAACATTCTGTTTGGGTGGAGCTGAGGCTGGCTTATGGCTCCCGGCAGCCCACCCTTTTACTCACTGCCACCCGAGCTAGCAATGTCTGTGACATCTCTGCTGCTTCTTCCCCACCCCACACCCCCAGCCAGGTTGCTTTTGTGATCACTGAGACTCATCGTGCTGGAATAAGCTTATTCTGGGGGCACCTGATGGCGGGATGCTGCAGCAACCTGCAGGCGCCCACCTGGACAGTGTCGTATCCGAGGATGCCTGTCATGCTGCCGGTGCCGTAGGTGATGGAGAGTGTCCCGCTGGTGGACTGATAGGTGGAGGAATCCTGAGGGTTGAAGAGGTTGTGGTTGGCTGCAAGGGCAAGCGGTGATTGTTAGTCTCTGAGAGCTGGGTGAAGGTCACGGGCTGGGACGTCTTCCTGGGAAGGGGTGCCCTGGCCCCAGGAAGGGCTCTGGAGGTGAGCAGTGACCTTTCCCCCTAGACCCTTGGACCCCAAGAGACCCCATGTTCTGTCCTGTCTCATTGAACTCCTGGGACCCTTCACTGATGGCAGGTCCCCAGGCAACCCCAAGGGCCTCCCGGGGACTCCCCAGGCCAACATTGAGCTGAGCAGGCTGGTGGCTGCCCAGTGATGAGCGCATTCACCCCCCAGCCCCCCGCCAGTGCTCCCATTATGTGGATGATGACACAGGCACCCCATCTTAATTAAAACTCAGGTGAAAACTTTAGAAGAGGAAGGAACCTGTAACACAGATTGTTCATGACTTCCAAAGACAAGCTCTCTTTCATTAGCAAACAATGTTTTTTCTTTTTTTTTTAAAGGAGCTCAGCACTTACCTCTAGCATGTCCTAGCCAGGCTTTGGAGCCATTTCCTCACACTGGACTCTTTCCTGGCGGGCTATTCTAGAGCCGTTTGGCCCTGTCTTGCTTTGGGCCCCTACATTTCTTCTCCCAGGCTGTGGGTATTTTGGGGAGCTTCTCTCTCCCCACAGACTGGAAAGTCTTTGACCGCAGGGATCATATCACTCATCCCTTTACCCCGTGGAGCACCTGCGCCCAGTGCTTGGTACATAGTAGGTGTTCAGTAAATGCCTGTTGAGTGGCTGCAGCAGGCTTGAGGTGGGAGCTCTCTGAAGCCCACGGGTGTCCAGGGTTCCCCAGGGTCAGCTGGTGCTGGGGAGCGAGAGTGGGGTGGGGCAGGCTGGGAACTTACTGCACGCGAGACTGGAGCAGTAGACTGAGGGCACCCACAGGTTGGAGGATCCAGTGTCAAAGATCACGGTGAAATCCTGGGCAGGGGTTCCGATGCCAATAGTGCCGAAGTACTCCACCTGCCGAGGCCGGGACAGGGCAGTTCATGGACCAGGGTCTCTGTCGGGGCCTCCCTAAGGGCTCTCTCTGGGTCACCTCCTAGGTTGCCCTCTCTACCTTTTCCTTCCCTCCTCACAGTTCTTGTCTTTCTCTTCCCAGCCACTGCCTTCATCCTTCAAAGCCCAGCCCTGGCGTCCCTTCCTCCTTGAAGTCTTCCCTGATTGCTCCCCCAGTTTACCCTCTGCTCTCTCCTAAGCACCACAAGCACCTAACAATCTACTGCTCCCTCTTCAGCTGTTGTCTTGTCTGTCACAGTCTTCCCATCCTTACAGCACATGTTCTCAGAGGATGGGGGTGGAATCTTCTAGCACCGGGCAAGTGACAGCTTAAGTGCTTGTGCCTTAAATTGTTTATCAGAAGCTAAGCAAGCCACCTAAAGATGGAAACCTGGCCGGTTTTCTTATTTCTACCTCTAGATGTGTGAGCAGGTTGCAAGAAAGGGCATTGCCAGTATTTTTCTTCTTCTTTTTTTTTTTTTGAGGCAAGTCTCGCTCTGTTGTCCAGGTTGGAGTGCAGTGGCACAATCTCGGCTCACTGCAGCCTCCGCCTCCTGGGTTCCAGTGATTCTCCTGCCTCAGCCT